CTTCCTCTACAGGCCTGGTTATTAGAGTGACACTAATGCTTTGTTTTTGTTTTGTTTTTAATAATAAACATGTCTATACTTACCTGCTCTGTGCAGTGGTATTGCACAGAGCAGCCCTGCTCCTCCCCTTTGAGCAGTGCCCCCAGGGAAAGCCACTCACTCTGGGAACACAGCTGCATGCTCCTCCTCCCCAAGCCGCTGCTCTATGTGTCCATAAGACACATAGAGCCACGGCTCAGCCCCCACTCCTCCCTGCTCTCTCCTCATTGGCTGTCTGGCTGTTATTGACAACAACAGGAGCCAATGAACGTTAGCCCTGTAAGCCTGTGTTGTGCCGAATGGAAGATTTACCTTCTGTGTGTGGGAACTGCATTTGAAGACAAGCCTGTCATTTTTCTGTTTCGTGCTGAATAAAGTGGATTTTAAGTGTATTGAATGATCTCACAGCCCCTGTTTACCCCTCTGATCCTGACACTATGCAAAATAGTCCATACCTAAATCTCATTTGTTCATCTAATCAGCATACCTTGGCAAGTATAGGCTGCATCCTGCTTATTGCAGGCATTCAGAGTCACCAAAGGGCACCTCTACAGGGACAATATTTGGGGGCTGCATTTAACTATTGCTTAAAAAGTGCAGACTTTAGAAAAAAACAATCATGCCCCCCTAAGTGGATGCAGCATCTGTCTGATGCTGCATCTGTCCCCTGCTGCCTCTAAGACTGAGAACTGAGTAATCAAAGACCGCTGATTGCTCAAGTCTCAGTCTTCAGTGAGCAGAGAGCCAGTGTCAGTCACCGGCTCTTTGCTCTGCCCCTCCAGTGCTCACTGGAGCGCTGGGCTGGGAAGGGGATGGAAGCCTCTGACTCAGGCTCTCAGAGCTGAGAGGCTGAACCAGCTGCTGGTCCAGGTATCTGGGTAGATCCTGACTTTAAAGTTGGGATTTCTCAAAAAGCTTGGACCGTCGTCACCTGACAGTGGACTTTAGCCTGTTGTCGGCTGAATATAACCACCGAAGTGCAGAAATAAGTATGCTCCTATGACCCACAGAGAAGTATGGCCAAAAGAGCTATCGGCACCAAGTTACATCATCTCACAGACCATTTTGTCATCATCATTACCCAAATCAGATGCATTATGCATGGTATTAGTTACATTTCTGGTGTCAAATGCTGTGTAACAAAGAGACACATTTACAGTTTTGAAACATCTCCTCTTCCTCATTACTAGAACCTGCTTAGATGTGGAAGAAAGTCTTGAGTGCCACCACCTGTACATCTTTCACTCACAACAGCAGCATGAGACTAAAAGAGACTGATATGAAGGTTAACCTGTAATTAGGGGAAGACTGCATGGAATGGACAAGAAAGATGATAAAGCGGTACCCTATGTCAAAAGCACAGTGTCTGGTGGACAGTCTCAGTAACCTGGCATGGATGGACTAGCCTGCTGCTACTTTGTTGGGACTTGCAACATTTACTTGCAGCTGTTGCTGAAAGGTTTCCTGTAATACTTGATACTTGATTTTTTTTGTGGAAAGGGTATAAATGCTTCTCTGGTTTTAATTGCTGTCTGGGTCCCCACTGGGGAAATTCTCCATCATTATGGGTCCAGGTGACTATTGTATCAATAGAAGATGTGACGGGAAAATACAAAGTTTTTGAGTCACAGGATCTTCCAACGGGAAACCTATTCTGGTGACAACTGTATTAAGAGGGGATGTCCCTCTGCTTAGATGAGATCTGCTCATGTTTTCCTATTATGTCTCTGGGTCAGGAAGTGAAGGCAATTCTCCCAGATGAGACAGAAAAATATAAACCTTACAGAAGTTTTAACCATCTCCTACTTTATCCCTAGAGACCACCAGTCTGAGCAGTAAGCAGGGGCGGACTGACCATTTGGAAACTCGGGCACTGCCCGAGGGCTCGGGTCAGTAGGGGGCCCCATGAAATGCCCCTGGTACCTTTTTCATAGGCTTTTTTGAGCTTGGGCAAGGACACAGGCCCCATGATCCCCTATTGCCCAGGGGGCCCATGAGTTGTCAGTCCGCCCTGGCAGTAAGATGTCATATTTAGCAGCAGTAAAGTAGTAATTCTTCTGATAAACGTTTTACTTTGCTCTACATTCAGAGGATCAGCTAGGAGTGTGAACACCCCATTCAGTTAGGCAAACAGGCAAATTTCAGACCAAATTCAACTTTGGCCCAAACTCAAAGCTTATCTCTAGTTTTCACTCAGGCTACACTGCAAATATATTGTTTGCTCTTCATTCCCATTACATGGAGGGTGGGGTTATTAGCTAATGTAAGGACTAATAAACTGCAATGTATTACATTTTTGTTCTTAGGTTCTAGATATCTTTAAGGCCCCTTTCAGATGGATGTTCTGAGCCAGTCCACCAGGACCTGATCGGAAAGGTCCAATTATCTCTATGGACTGGCAGATGTAAATGGACTCATGTCTGTTTACACCCGTCTACCTTGGGTCCGATCAGGCCTGCTAAAAAAACATGAGAGGACTCCATCCTCTTCCATTTAAGTGGAAGTAGTTGGGTGTAAACGGACAGCGGAGTCCCGTTTAGTCCCAGCCGTCTATAGAGCTCTGCCATGTCCTCTCTGCACATACTGAGCAGATACCCTGCTGTTTGCAACTGAATCCACTCCGTGTGAAAAGGGCCTCAGAGTGCAATTTTAGTTAAAACTGTTAGGTAGAATAGACCTAGAATCAGATATATTTCTGTAATGCTAGACTACTTTCCCACTGCTCCCTAGTACAAATGCAGTAAAAATGCATATGTGTTTTTGCCGTGGTTTTGTCATGTTTACGGTGAGTTTTGCACCTGTGAAAAAAAAAGCATGTGACTCAAAAAACACACCAAACATGCTACCACATGTGCATTTTTTATGCGTTTTTGCCGCTTTTTATGTGTTTTCTATTCATTTCAATGGGGAGGTGCGTTTTTGGTGCTGTTTTTTTACTGCACCAAATATGCGCCAGAAAAAAATGCAGCAAGCAGAACTTTGAAAATGCAATAGACCTACAACTGACCAGCATGAAGTGTTCCATAGGATTTATTGGTCATTGCATTTTTCTTCTACTTTTTTGCTGCAAAAACTGAAGAAAAATGGATTAGTTTTAAAGCAGCCTTAAAGTAGAACTAAACCCTCCTATCCTTTTTCAGCCAAGGAAGCTGTCATTCTAGCCTCTGTTTGATCTATAGTTGCCATGATACTGCACATGTGAACATTTATGACACCCACCATTTGATGGTTTGACAATTTGGTTGAGAGCACAAGCAACTATAACAGTTAGCATTCCAGGTAGGCCATGAGTGTAATTGTTTTTTAATCCATTTATGAATGGGTTTCGGTCCACAGTATGCTCCCTGACAATGCCTTAATTTACTTTCCTTTTCGGAAGGTAGGAGCCATCTTTTTTAGCCCTTTCCTGCCCAGCTCCAGCTACCCTTTAACAGGGTCTGTACACCCAGGGGGTGGGAGAGACTGCCTGATCAAGTGAACACAGTGGTCACATGATTGGGAGCTGGTACCACTGACTCCCAATGGTTATTAGAGACGGTTAGCTCTCCATGGTAGCTCAGTCACTGTACTGGGATTAAACAGTAAGCAAGTTCTCAGCATAGAAAACTTAGCCACCCATGGACATATATCTGCAGTGAGGCCCGGTGCTAGACCATTTTGTGTCCTAAGCAACACCAGCTACTTGTGCCCCCCCTTCCCCCCCAAAAAAAAAGATACATTTTTAAAAAAATAGTAGAAAATATTAAATCAGCAAAACATGAAACTGCTACATTTCTTTTAATTTGCAAAAATAAGTGCCATACGATGTCTCCAGCACCAATATTAACCATTTGCCGCCCACCCTATGGCCGAATGCGGCTGGCAAATGTCATCAGCGTTCCGGGTAGACGCCATATGGCGTCCTCCCGCACATGCGCAGATTGCGCTCCTGCAGAGCCGGGCAGTGGTGCGATCTGTCACCGGCCATGTACCTCGGACATGGCCGATGACAGATCTGAGTACCGGCCCCCGTTGCCGGTACCATGTGACCTGCTGTGACCAATCACAGCAGGTCACATGACAGTTGTATACAATGGATGGCTTCATTCATGTCATCCATTGTATACTAGTGCCTAGCTGTGAATGGTCACAGCAGGTCACATGCACATGTCATGTGATTAGCTGTGGCCAAATCACAGCTAAGCACAAAAAAAAAAAAAAAAAACCTGAATGAATCGATGTCATTCAGGTAAATGCTTGCTTATAGCAAAGTAGTTCTTTGCTATAAGCAAATTGTGTAAAAAAAAAAAAAAAAATACTGATCACTTCCCAAAGTAGTACAATGTTACTATGGTAACATTGTACTACTTTGGTCATAGTAAAATATGAAAACAAAATCTTAAAAAAAAGAAAAAAAAAATTTAATAAAAAAAAATAAAAAAAATATATATTTTTTTTTTCATACTGTCACCAGTAGAGATGAGCGAATCGAACATGACGAAGTGGAATTCGTTCCGAAGATTTGGAAAAATTTGATTCGCGACGAATCCGAAAATTAGCAAACTTCGGATGCACGAATCGAATTTTCCCAAAAATGGCGGCGACGTGTGGCGACAGGAGAAAATGGACAGAGAAGATGGGGCGGGGATCTCTGGGAAGGCGCGCAGACAAGGCACGCTGACCCATAATGCATTCATGAGTCATGAATCATGACATGTGATCGCATTAGCCAATCAGCAGCCAGCCAGCACTGTGTAATGGTGGAGCTATAAATCGCGGCCATCTTAGAATTCTCCATTAGCCTACGGTCATTCAAGAGAGACAGACCTGTCTGTATTAAGGGACAGAGTTAGGGCCACAGAGACTTTAGGGCCACAGAATCGTTACTCAGGGACACAGAATCGTTACTCAGGGACACAGAATTGTTACTCAGGGACACAGAATCGTTACTCAGGGACACAGAATCGTTACTCACGGACACAGAATTGTTACTCAGGACACAGAATCGTTACTCAGGGACACAGAATCGTTACTCAGGGACACAGAATCGTTACTCAGGGACACAGAATCGTTACTCAGGGACACAGAATCGTTAATCAGGGACACAGAATCGTTACACAGGGACACAGAATCGTTACTCAGGGACACAGAATTGTAACTCAGGGACACAGAATCGTTACTCATGGACACAGAATCGTTACTCAGGGACACAGAATCGTTACTCAGGGACCACAGAATCGTTACTCAGGGACACAGAATTGTTACTCAGGGACACAGAATCGTTACTCAGGGCCACAGCTATCAAAGAATCGAAAATTTAAAGTGACATACACCCTTTTTTTTTTTGGTGGCTGTCGTGCACAGTTGGTGCTGCAGTTTGCCGATTGTGCAAAATAAACTGACTTTCTGCTTCACAAACCACTATTGTACGTTCAAAGAGTTAAATCCATTTACACGCCGGCTGGCGGTAATATTTTTTTGGGTGATTAGTGCATTCAGTGACACAAAACGTACAGTTTCCAGCCACGGCAAGCTGCAATTGACCGATTGTGTGTACATAAACTGACTTTCTGCTTCACAACCAATTGTACGTTCAAAGAGTTAGATCCATTTACACGCCGGGTGGCGGTAATATTTTTTTGGGTGATTAGTGCATTCCAGTGACATAAACGTACAGTTTCCAGCCAAACGGCATAGCTGCAAACGATTGATCCCGACTAGTTGTGCTAAATAAACTGACTTTCTGCTTCACAACCACTATTGTACGTTCAAGAGTTAAATCCGATATTTACACGCGGGTGGCGGTAATATTGTTTGGGTGATTAGTGCATTCCAGTGACACAAACGTACAGTTTCCAGCAACGGCAAGCTGCAATTGACCGATTGTGCTTAACAATAAACTGACTTTCTGCTTCACAACCACTATTGTACTTTCAAAGAGTTAGATCCATTTACACGCCGGGTGGCGTAGGTAATATTTTTTGGGTGATTAGTGCATTCCAGTGACATAAACGTACAGTTTCCAGCCAGCGGCAAGCTGCAATTGAACCGATTGTGCTAAATAAACTGACTTTCTGCTTCTCACAACCACTATTGTACGTTCAAAGAGTTAAAACGATTTTACACGCCGGCTGGCGGTAATACTTTTTGGGTGATTAGTGCATTCCAGTGACAGAAAATGTACAGTTTCCAGCCAACGGCAAGCTGCAATTGACCGATTGTGTACAATAAACTGACTTTCTGCTTCACAACCACCATTGTACGTTCAATGAGTTAGATCCATTTACACCGCCGGGTGGCACCGCGGTAATATTTTTTGGGTGATTAGTGCATTCCAGTGACATTTAAAAGTACAGTTTCCAGCCAACGGCAAGCTGAATTGACCGATTGTGCTAAATAAACTGACTTTTCTGCTTCACAACCACTATTGTACGTTCAAAGAGTTAAATCCATTTACACGCCGGCTGGCGGTAATATTTTTTGGGACAGACATTGATTAGTGCATTCCAGTGACAGAAACGTAAAGTTTCCAGCCAACGGCAAGCTGCAATTGACCGATTGTGGGTACAATAAACTGACTTTCTGCTTCACAACCACCATTGTACGTTCAAAGAGTTAGATCCATTTACACGCCGGGTGGCGGTAATATATTTTTGGGTGATTAGTGCATTCCAGTGACATAAACGTACAGTTTCCAGCCATACGCAAGCTGCACAATTGACCGATTGTGCTAAATAAACGGACTTTCTGCTTCACAACCACTATTGTACGTTCAAAGAGTTAAATCCATTTACACGCCGGCTGGCGGTAATATTTTTTGGGTAGATTAGTGCATTCACAGTGACAGAAGAAACGTATCAGTTTCCAGCCAACGGCCAAGCTGCAATTGACACAGATTGTGTACAATAAACTGACTTCTTGCTTCACAAACACCATTGTACGTTCAAAGAGTTTAGATCCATTTACACGCCGCAGGGCCGGTAATATTTTTTGGGTGATTAGTGCATTCCAGTGGCCACATAAACGTTACAGTTTCCAGCCAACGGCAAGCCTGCAATTGACCGATTGTGCTAAATAAACTGACTTTCTGCTTCATAAATTGTTACTCAAGGCCACTATTGTACGTTCAAAGAGTTAAATCCATATACACGCCGGGGCTGGCAGGTAATATTTTTTGGGTGATTAGTGCATTCCAGTGACATAAACGTACAGTTTCCAGCCAACGGAAAGCTGCAATTTGACCGATTGTGTACAATAAACTGACTTTTATGCTTCACAACCACTATTGTTACGTTCAAAGAGTTAGATCCCGCATTTACAAACGCGGCTTGGCCCGTAATAATTTTTTTTGGGTGATTAGTGCATTCCAGTGACATAAACGTACAGTTTCAGCCAACGGCAAGCTGCAAATTGACCGATTGTGCTAAATAAATCTGACTTTCGGCTTCACAACCAGATATTGTACGTTCAAAGAGTTAGATCCATTTACCGCCGGCTGGCGAGTAATTATTTTTTGGGTGATTAGTGCATTTCCAGTGACATTAACATACAGTTTTATCAGCCAACGGCAAGCTGCAATTGGACGATTGTGCTAAATAAACTGACTTTCTGCTTCACAACCACTATTGTACGTTCAAAGAGTTAATCCGGTTTTATTTTTGGGGTGCTTTTATTGAATTAAAGAGTATGTCAGACAATCGACGACAGAGGAGTGGCAGAGGAGGCATGTTTCAGGAGCGAGCAGACGTGGCAGCAGAGGAAGGGGTCGAGCAGCACTAGTCGCAGCCAGGAGGCCAGTGTCACCGGTGTCATCCAGCGGTCGTGTCTCCACCGACAACCCTGCCGTCATCGATTGGTTGACTCGGTCGTCTTCCTCTTCCCAGGTCACCTCTGAACACCCTACAGCCAACGGTCGGTGGGTACGTCAGACCACAACCGTTAGTTGGCATGGCCCAGGAGCAAGCCCACTGAAACTCACGTGTCCTCGACCTGCCCCTGTCCGTTGGTGTTCCCTCACCAACGAGTATCGCATGCTGTGGGCTCAGCCCCACTGTACAGTGAGGAAGAGCTAACAGAGGGCAGGTCAGGAAACGGGGGAGACATCCGACTCTTCAGCAGCCAGGCGAAGAAGTACTGGCGAGGAGAGTGGCTCGGTAGCCGGTCTAGAGACAGGTCTGTCTCCTGACCCACATGCAGCCGAGGGGGCTAGTAGTGACGCGGAGACCCTAATTGATGATGATGAGGCTGATCGCACTTGGCAGCCCTCGTCGTCATCAGGCTATTGCTTCCGCATCATCAGGAGAAGAGGGTGCCAGCTTGCAGCGAGCAAAAAGTCGGTGGGTTGCCAGGAGGCAGCAGGGGGTCGCAGCAGTGTCAGTGGAGCCAAACGGCCACAGGTAGAGCACCAGCTCACTGCAGCTACCACCACGGCCAGTAGTGGTGCCGGTGTGCACGGAGGAAGTAGCAGTCAGCCAGTGAGGAGTAGCGGGGGCAAAGTTTCCTACTCGGCGGGAGGTGTGGCAATTTTTCGTCAAGACGTTCCGACGAGGAAAGTAAACGTAGCTGTATGTCGACTATGTGGCCAGAAAGTCAAGCGTGGCAGGGGGCCAATGTTGGGACTACAGCGTTGCGTCCAGCATATGCAGCGTCGCCATTCGGTGCTGGGGAAAACCGTGATAAAGATACGGCGGTTCTGCCTGCCCCAGCCCCGCTCCATCACCCGCTCCGTTACTTGCTCAGTCACCCCGACGTCAATCGCCATCTATCAGCCAGTCAAGGCTCCAACCACCTCTGCTGAGGGGAGTTGTCGCTCGTTGGCATCTTTCCGCTCGTTCAGATGCTCCTTCTCCTGTACTCCTCTTCACGGATTCCGTCAGCAGTCTTTCTTGGAATCCGTTTCCAAGAGACAAAGTTTGCGAGCACGCACCCGACGGTGCAGAAGCTGAACGTCCTCATGTCCAAGTTGCTGGTGCTGCAGTCCCGTTCCTTTCCAAAGTGGTGGACTCAGCACCTTTCGAGAAATGATGGCTTGTGCCGAGCCACGGTGGAGGAGTGCCAAGCCGGCATTTCTTCGCCAAAAAGGCAGTGCCAGCCCTGCATTCCCATGTAGAAGAGATGGTGGGCCAAGTCTTTGAGCATGTAGGGTCTCTGCCAAAGTGCACGGCAGCGCCGATGTGTGGGAGCTGTAACTACGGTCAGGGACAGTACATGTCATTTACGGCCACACTGGGTGAACGTGGTGCCGGCACAGCGCACCAGCAACTTGGACAGGTCACGCCGCTTTTGCCTCCCACGTTTGAACGTCCTTGGTCCAGCAAAGATGTCCGCCTCTACCACTCTTTTTCCCGTGTCCTCAGCCGCACACCCACCGTGCAAGTCCCATTACCGACCCGCATATACATGTGCAGGGCGCAACGGTGTCACGCTGTGCTGCACCTGGTATGCCTTGGCGAACGTAGTCACACAGGGGAGGAACTTCTGAGTGTAATGAACAGAGAAATCGACAGATGGCTGTCTCCGCGCAAACTGAAATATCGGAACCATGTTGACGACAACGGAAAGAACATGGTGTCTGCTCTGCGTCAAGGAAGGTTGTGCCATGCGCCATGCATGGCTCACGTGTTCAATCTGGTTGTCAAGCGGGTCCTAAAATCCACCATCCCACTGCAAGACATCCTTAAAATGTCACGTAAACTTTGCATGCATTTCAGCCATTCCTACAACCGCAAAGCACACCCTCCTTGAGCTGCAGCGGCAGAAACGGAATTCCACAGCATCGCCTGATCTGCGACGTTGCAACAAGGTGGAATTCAACCCTACATATGTTAGACGCCTTTACGAACAGCGAAAGCCCCATCACCGATTTCTGATGTTACAAGCGGATAAAGGTACATCCCCTGTGTAATTAGATGTCAGCCATTGGCAGCTCATGCGTGACACTGCCGCTTGCTCAGGCCTTTGAGGAGGCCACGCTATTCGTGAGTCGGCAGGACTATGGGATGAACGACGTCATTCTCTGTTGCACGTCCTGGAACAAAATGCTGTTAACAATGGCTGGTCAGGGTGCGGTAGACGTGGCGCACAGATCTCAAGCCACATGACCCCTTGTGGGGGCAGGAAGGAAGAAGAGGAGGAGGTAGAGGAGGACATTGGTGTCAGGAATTATTGAGTGAATGGGTGGTTTTTCCACTCAGCGGACAGGAGTGGAGGAGCAGGGACATCTGGTAGAGGAGGAGGAGGAGACAGAGGACCCAGACGCACCGTGGCAGTATGTGTGGAGATGGAGGCAGGGAGTCCTCGCATTCCTTGGCACAAATGGCCCATAGCATGTCGGTTGCTTGCGTAGCGACAGCCGAATAATAACCATCAGACAGAGGGATGACTTTTGGCTGTCCACCTTGTTGGACCCTCGCTACCGTTCAAAAATGGTGGCCTTTTTCACACCTGCTGAGAGGGAGGCCAAAATAACGTAATATAAAAACCACCTATGTAGTCAGTTGGTCTCTGCCTTTTCTGCGCCAACGTCCATCCTCAGACACTGTGGGCCCTGTGCGCTCGCGTTCCGCTGCCATGCAGCAGGGGGGAGGGGAGCGGCTGCCTCAGTCTGCAGTCGATGATGAGTAGCTTTCTTCACCAGCGCAGTGAGGAAATATACTAACCAGCCGCAGCAGCAGCAGCATCAGGTTGGACTGGTGCAGGACCTCAAACAACAGGCTTGGGCCTACTTGGACAGCACCCTGCCAACGATGTAGACAATCCCTTGACTACTGGGCAACGAAACTTGAACTTTGGCCCCAACTAGCTGAATTTGCCCTTGAAAGGCTGTCATGCCGGCCAGTAGCGTGGCATCGGAGCGATGTGTTTAGTGCGGCAGGAGGTTATTGTAACTCCGCGGAGGACTTTGAACTGTCACACCAAAGTGTGGAGAGACTCACGTTTGTGCTAATGAATCTGGCGGATGGATTAGTCTGGATTTCCAAACCACCAGTTTCTGACACAACTGACTAAATCCGCCATGAATCATGCCCCAAACATGTTATTAGGGACAAATGGAAGACCTCCACCTGATCCGTACATTTGTATATATATTTTATTGAGAGGCTGCTGGTCGGTCGACTCATGTTTTGCACATTTTTAATGACTTATACTCTGCAGGTCGGGCCCTCATGAAATGGGGTTTTTCAATTATTTATACTTCGCTGGACGACCGTCACATGAATTGAACCTTTTTAATTACTTATACTCTGCTGGTCGGGCCCCTCATGAATTGGTGTTTTTAATTATTTATACGTCGCTGGACGACTGTCACATGAATTTAAACTTTTTAATTATTTATAGTCGACCAGTTCCAGACCGATGGAACTTAGCTAATTTTTTTATAATATTTATTTGACACGTGTTGTCCATTCATCAATGAGGTGGATGTTTATTTATTGGCCACGGTTTGGGCCCCCTCCTGTTTCTTACATTGTTAACTTGTTGTATCGGTCACGGTTTGGCCCACATGTTTGGTTGTCTTGTTAAGATTTTCTGTAATGTACACAGTTTACGCTTGACTTGTCGACTTTCCACATCTACTAAGGTATAGCATCGCAATCAAAGTTTTTTTTTTTTTTTTTTTGGTCTAAACCATTTCTTATTTAATG